AAGGATAGGTTGGAGAACACAAACCTATATTTCTCTGGCAAATATTTTCAAAGTGGAAACATCTGTTTCAATTGTTGTGGGACAATCTATGCTCATGGTGGGGCAGTTAGGAAGCCAGGGCATTTTTGTAAACCTTTCCCTGAGTTAACATGTGATGCCTTCCTCTGGCTCTTCCTGAACTTTCTCCATGACCCTCACAGACCAGCCAGAAATTATTCTTTGATGTCCATGACTGCCTTCTGGAAACCTCTGTAATTATCATGGTTCAAACATTTTAAAAACGATTTACTCATCAGATCTTTTCTAGAACTCAGAAATGACCCCTTCAAAAACGTTTGTCCCTCAAGCATATTACTAGTGTCATTACAGCCTCAAGAAACTATGTATGCTGAGGGAAAATGAACTCTGTGTGTGTGTGTGTGTGTGTGTGTGTGTGTGTGTGTGTGTGTGTGTAAAATCATCATGCTTCATTTCCAAACTCCGTTTATTTATTTATTTATTCATTCGAGTAATCACATGATGAAGAAAAAAGCTAAAGGTCAGCATACTCATTTTCATATTTTGCCAAAAGCTTTCTTTTTCATTTAATTTTAGGAAATATAGTAAAGATGTGAAACTGTTGAATCCACCATTGGCCTTGTTGCTGGGATAAACAGAGCACTTGGTTACCATTGGCTTTTGATCATGGCTCTTTTTCCAGTTTCTCAATGAACTCCCGTGAACGAAATAGAATAAGGTCCTTGACCCGGTGAAGGTGAAGTTGTTTCAGGGTGGCACATATGGTAGGAAAGGGTAGGGTTGTCCTGTGGAGGACACATGAAAGAGTCCAGTGGGGAGCACTCACGTGATCATCTCTGTGTAGCCAAGCATGCTGAAGGAGGTAAGACATTTCCATTCAGCGGCGTACCCCTGACACCAGGAATTAGTGCTGTCTGTGTGAGGCTTTGCCTCTGTGGTGTATCAGAGCCCTGTGTCTAGAGTTTATATTGACACAGTCTGCTCAAAGAAATTTATGTTTCCACATGAACTGATCCATTCAGTGGGAACAGGTTCCCATGCCTATGAGTGAGTGATGTCTTAGACAAATATAAAGCATAGTGTCTTTGCCCTCAAAACCAGAAAATGCAAAAACTTTTCCTTTTCTCCTTCAAGACAACATTCTCAGGACTCATCTTTCTGTGTGCTATGCATGTGCTCAAGAATGCAAACCTAATAGAAAAGAAAGGAAAGCACAGGGACAGATAGTGGGAGACATGTTTAAAATTTTTAAAATGTAAGTACCAGTAATTTGTGGTTTACCTTAAGAAAGAAAAACTTGATGATGTTTGCTGACTAGTGAATAGAAAGCAGACAGGTGTTTGGAAGGTGTGTGGCTCCTTTCTGTCTACCTACAACGGTGAATCCTGCCTGGCAAAGAGATGAAAGGAATCTCTGAGGTCAAGTTGATGACAGTTACGTTAATTAATCACTTGTGTAAAAATGGGCAAACAATGTGGAAATGAAGTATGTTTTAGAAAATGTCCCTTCTGTCCTTTGATGTATCTCTTAGTACCCTCTAGTGGTGTCAGCGTAACATTCTCTTACATGTAGCATGTGATCCTGTCATTCAGGGTCAACATTTTCAGGCTGCCTCTCCATGTACTTACTTAATCTATGAGGTAAACAGCTAAAAATTCCCCAAACATTCTTTTATCAATATAGTTTCCACCTTGTAGCTTCTATGTAAGACACCAGATTGGAAGGAAGGAAAGGCCATTATTATACATATTCATTTCAATTCCTAAGACTAAAGAGCTATAATTCTTAACTATTTCTCCTATCTTATAGCTGACTTGAAAAGAAACAATTACAATCCATAGGCCAACTGTGGCATAGGAATGTATCGCATTTGAATTAAGCATCACATATTTTTGAAGCCTTTTGTTCACATGTGTAAAAGTTCCATTTTGAGGTTATGGGTTCAAAATGACAAATACTTGATCAACAAATTGGTATTGTGGGAGTGGGGCAGTGGCTACTGATCAAGTGTTTCATGAAAACCTCAGATTTATAGTCTTTTAATTTGTTCTGAATCGTTGCCCTGAGTATACTAATTCATTTTCTTTCTTTTTTTTTTTTTTTTTTT